ATACATACATACATACATACATACATACATACATACATACACACACACATACATACACACACACATACATATATATACACATATATATAATTACTAAAACTGAAAACGTAAAAGCTAATTTAATGCTAAAATAACACTGTAAATATCATACCAGTTTTGGAAGGATCTCCGTGTTTCATAATGTCATCCAGTTTCTCACTGACCAATTTGTGAAGAGAACCTGGAATCTAATAAAAGCAAGTATGATGATGCAAAACAGCCACAATTAATTATTTCTGTATTACATCATTATTGACCAGTGCTGTCTTAATTCATTAAATAAAAGAAACCTTGAAGATTTCCTGGTGGTTGTCGAGCATGAAGAGCATCAGCAGGTCTGTCTTTTCTTTCGTCAGACTCTTGCTCTGGATGATGGCTCTGGTGAATGTCTTCTTCACAGCCATTCGATTTTCAATCTGAAAATCCAAAACAAGTGTAAATAGTTGACAAATGTATGAATAGCACATCACATGCATTATGACTCCTTACTTCTTTGTGCAGCTGGACGTTTGCAGCATCTGCAGCTGTGGCCATAAACTCCAGCAGCCTGCGCAGTTCCTCGCGTGCAGACGCAGACAGCAGCTTCAGCGTCAGCTGCAGGACTTCCAACGCTTGTTCAAACTTCCCATTCACTAGATATACAGGTAAACAGAGGAAAAATTGCCACAAAGCCACAAAGAATAGTTGTTTATTGGAAAGAATGAATCATTTGAGGAGCGTTATTCACTCAGGAGTTCCATGATCTCAGTGTAGACGTCTGCCATGCTGTCACAGAGGAGAGGCTTGCGCTCCATGTGTCCGTAGTGTTTGTCCAGCACATGGAACAGCAGTAGTTTACATTCATCCATCCCCTGGCCATCCTCTTCCTCACAGGAGAACTTGGGCAGCTCTCTGCTCACCTCCACCACAAGCTGATCCGGAAGGAAATCCAGCACGTCTATGGCTGCCGACAGCCAAACATCAGCTCTGGGTGGAGGAAAGCGAATTAGGCCTATCTGAGCCTCATTGTTTGATTTCTTGAGTTTAAACTTGAAGATGTCTCACTGTGATTCTTTTAAGGCCTTGAGAACCTCTCGTTCGAGGTAGTTGCTGGTGTAGAGAAGGTCAGGCTCACTATTACTGCCACGAGAGGGGGGCGAAACAATCTTTGCGCAGTTCAGCACTCCCTCCAGCAGGGGGAGATCTATCAGCTGAGACAGCTTCCGTACGGTCTGCTCGTGCCACACCTCTCTGACCACTGAAGGACAGTTCATATAAATATTGTAAAAAAGTTGCGCCTAAAGGCTAAAAACCTTTCAACACAAATATTCAGATGTGTGCAGCGCATTTTATGGAGGACTGTTTCCTGATCCTGATAGAGTAGACTACAATGCCGACTGCTCTGACTGAAAAGTATGTTTTCATTTTTAAAGGATTTGCCACTGACGATTCAAACTGAGTTTTGAGCAGTGTAGAGTAGAGCTTGTTGTTTGTCATTCCTCCAATCACAAATGCAGACACGGTTTTGTGTTTACGCGGCACGATGTAACACGTAAAAAGACAGTATAAGTCATTATAATCCGTAATTATGTCCCCACTGGATGCAACAAATGCCTCGTT